ACCAAAGACTTAGGTTGAGAACCCTAATCGTTCTACTGTCTAGGCCAGGCCAACCTGACAGTATCCTTCCCACGCAATACAATGAATCACACTTCAAACAAATTTCTGATGCTCTGGCCACCGCAGAGGATAATCAACGGTGCCCTATCTGCTGCATCGAGCAGGGTGGATAGGGGTTTGGATGCTACTGCTCAAGCCTTCCCGTCTTCTTATTCCCCCTCTTACGCTTTTTCACTTACCGTCCCGTTCCAACTTCACTTTTATCCCCCCACTTTTCAACCCCCGATACTTGGCCCTCCCCAACATGCTTTGCTAGGTGTTTATCATCTAGCTTCAACACACATGCAAACGCGGAGCGTCACTCCTGTCCTGTCAACAAGCCCGTGTCCAACCAAGCACTCCACCCCAATTCATCGGCTTCCATTTGGAGCTCTCGATCCTCATTCAGATTGGCATGCCTCAATAAACGCACAGTGCTACAGCTCGGTCAACAGGCAGCACTAGCCCCAACTTTAGAGGCATTCACCATTGATATATGCCGCTTATCGGAGACCCGCCTGCAAGACTAGATCTCTGTGATCCCCTTCAGGTGATACCAGCAGTATTTTCTCATTGCGCCCATCCGGTGACGATGCAGCTTCGAGCACCGGCCAAGCCGGTGTTGGTATTGCCCTGAGTCCCCGGGCTGAAGCTGCTCTGGTTGATTGGATCCCAATCAGTAGCCGGATGTGTGCGATCCGATTGGCAGGCTCGTTCAAAGCTTCGAAGTCGCGCGGAACTAATAGGTGTCTATTCACCATCGCTGCATACGCGCCCACAAACTCTAGCGATCATTCGGTAAAAACGGCTTCTACTCACAACTGACTGAGCTCCTTCACCACACAAGAAGCACGGACACTGTTGTGCTGGCGGGGGATCTGAACGCATAAGCTGGAAAATTGTCCACTGATGAACTGCATCTAGGCGGTCAACACGGTGTAGGCTCCCGTAATGATAACGGTGAGCGGTTACTTCATTTGTGTGAAGATGCCGGCTTATTACTTGCGAGCACTAACTTCAGACACAGCACCCGCCGTAGGGTGACATGGCGCCTACCAGTCTCGAACAAGCGTTGGACGCAAATCGATGACATTGCAATCAGTTACCGCTGGAGTGGCTGCGTCCAGAACTATCGCTCGATTTGGAGCACAGGTGTTGACACCGACCATGCACTTGTATGTGCTGACCTGCGGATGCGTTTTCGCGGACGCTCACGACGACGCTACGAGCGCATTGACACCAGTCAACTACCGAAGCCACCTGTTCTAAATGGGTATCGAAATATGCTGATATGCAAGTTGTGTAAGCGCTCACTGGACACACTTGATGGTCACTGGTTACATGTTCACCAGACCTTACTAGCAGCAAACAAATCCTCATGTGGTAAGTCTAATAGCCAACATGGACATTGGGTCTCTTCGTGGTCTCTGGAACTTATCGATGCTCGCCGGCATATTCTGGCTGGAAGCGAACATAATAAAACTCGCTAAGAGCTCCGGACAGAACTCCGTGCTAGTCTGAAGAGAGACCGCGAATCCTGGTGGTCTGTTCGTGCGTCAGAGATTGAAGTAACCGCTTCCCTTGGTAACCATCAAAAGTTATTCAGTCTGATACGGGAAGCGGGCAGCAAGAGACCTGGTGTCAATGAAACAATTGATCACAAGAGTGGACAGCCTATCCATAATTTGTCAAAATGTTTGGAGCGTTTGGCTGAGCATTTTGAAAAGCAATTCAATCGGCCAGAATTGTTCGATTCCTCACAGGCCATTGATCGCCCTGTTCCCTGGGCTGACCCTCTGGATCCGCCCTCTCGCTCAGAAGTCAAACGTGAGATCGGACTTTTGAAGTTGAACAAAGCGGCGGGATCAGATGATCTTCATCCAGCCCAGTTCAAATTCGGGGACTCTGCTCTTGTTGAAATTTACATGAATTACTAGTGAAACTGTGGGAGCATGAAGCTGTCCCAACCGACTAGAGCCGCTCCGTTATTATTCCCATCTTTAAAAGAGGCTCGCGTTCGGAATGCGGCAACCATAGAGGGATCAGTCTGATCTCCATCGCCTCCAAATTACTTGCGTCTGCAATCCTTCACAGATTGACTAAGAGTCGTGAAGGCCGGATTCGTGAGGAGCAAGCCGGGTTTCGTCGGGGTCGTGGCTGCATCGACCACATCTACACTTTGCGTCAGTTGTTGGAGCACCGTCACACATATTGGCGGCCCACCGTTGTCGTGTTCCTCGACATCACAGGTGCCTTCGATTCAGTGAATCCATGTGCTCTTTGGAACTGTCTACTCATGAAAGTTGTGCCCGAGAAATATGTAAATATTATCCGAGCATTATACGCGCGTAGCACGGGCAGAGTGAGGGCTTACGGCAAGCTGTCGTCGCCCTTCAATATCTTCAGCGAAGTGAGACAAGGACGCTCACTGTCACCTTTACTCTTCAACTTCGCCATTGACGAAGTCATGGAGATTGCATTCACATAACAAGATTTAGAAAGTGTGGAGCTAGTCCCAGGAGAAGGACTTCTTAATTTGGAGTATGCGGACGACATTGCCCTTATCTGTGACAGCTCCCAGAGGTGTCAAGCTGCACTGGACAGATTAACGCTGGCTGTCAGCCGCTTCGGGCTTTGTTTTGTACCATCGAAGTGCAAAGCTTTTCTTCAAGATTGGCAGGGATCACCTCCTGCGTAGACCCTTGGTGAGGATCAGCTAGAAGTCGTTCAGAAATCCAACTACCTGGGAAGTTGTATCAGTGCCCTTGGGACCGAAGATGAGATGACGAACCGTATAGCAAAAGCTCGAGGTGCTTTTGCTAGTCTTCGTCTCCTATGGCGGCGCGCGACATCACTTTCGCCATGAAGGGTAGAGTGTACAATGCAGCGGTACGTCCGACCGTACCGTATGGTTGTGAAACCTGGCCCTTTAAATCAGTGGACATAAAGAGACTAGTTACCTTCGACCATCCGTGCCTTCGCAGTTTGGCTCACATCTGGTGGGAACACCGCGTGAGAAACGAGCGTGTTCGACGCCTTGTTTACGGCACAGGACAAGGAACTGAACCGCCCAGCACCGTCATTTCACACACCAGGTTCAGATGGCTCGGCCAGGTGTTACGCATGCCATTCCACCGGCTCCCGCGACGTGCGTTATTTGCTCGCCAGGGATGTGGATGGGAGAAGAGGAGGGGTGGCCAAGCGGTGACTTGGTCCAGAGGAATGAAGGCCCTCAATTCGGAGCTGGCCTCGGTTGGAGCGTCACTGCTCCCTGGCTGGGGTCCAAAAGACGATGAACACGTTTGGCTAGATACACTTGTTGACATGGCTAGGACACGGCCTCAGTGTCGTTCGTGTTGTGAGTTTCTTCGTTCCTCCCCATCCCTTTTAGCCTCCCTCTCTAACCACGATCTCAGTTCTTAGGAAAATGCAATTTTACGTAATAATTTTCTGTTGCCTAGTAGCCGGCTGGTAGCTTTCCGGAACGATGCCCATCCGTTGCTGGTAGCCCAGCTGGCATACAACTGTTGCATTTATTTTCTTTATTTCTTTTGTGTATTGCGGCACAGTAGCTGAGGCGTTTTACACCTCAAGCTAACGTGTATAATGATGAATTATGATATCATACCATTTAAACGCATCGACGACAGTGTTCCAGGAGGTGGTAGGTTTTCGCCAGGCAAGCGTTCTCCCTTTAAAAGGCTACAAATGTCCGTTTAACAACACTGCGATGTGACCTGTCATCGAATAAATTCACAGCCCACGGCTTCACACCAACGAGCTGAACAGAGCCACAGTTCACTATTTTTTGATTTTTCCATTACAAAGATACTTCCCTGTCTGCACAATCCGTCACCACTTCACTTTTTACTGTGGATTCCTACATTAATCACACATAAACTCAGAATATCGCCACATGACAAACGATTTTGTTCCTCATCGGTACTTTTCCTATTTTTACAAGTTACAAACCTATTAGTCGTCTACCCACTGAATGCAACGCATCTGTTGCGAAACATAATTGCCTGTAAAATTTTGAACATGCCTGATATGGTGTGCCTCGATGTATTCCAAAATGGATGCGCACTACTGATGATGCGTAACAGGCTGAAACTGCAGTCTAGTGCTTTTCCGAGTACACGGACGACTATCTGATTTGGAACTAGCTGTGACGAACCCTCAATTAGCTACATCAAAATTCTCTACTCATGAGTACATCAAAGTATTTGTTTGAGTTTTGGTAATGCCATCGGTAGACACAGTACTTCCATCGGCCGCACTGTCGAAAATGGGGAGCAACAGTTGATTCACATCCGACTGCTTCAGCCACGTCCTCGAGATCCTCAAGAAAGGCTTACACATCTCTTTCTTCAAACGGCTTCGTCCGGACAATTTTCAGATACCACTGTAAGAAGCCGGGTGTGAAAAGTGGTTTATCGTAGTTACGAGCATTCATTGTACGCATTAGATTTGACCGCGCCCGGATTGATTAATATGTGAGTCTTCATGGATGTTGTGTGGTGTGCTCATGATCAAAGCCTTTGACGAAGGCTGTTTCTGCGTTTATTTTAGGCACACATCCATTTGTAGTCTCTAGGAACCTCTGGTGTTAGGACGCTAACTTGTTCCGCTGATGACTCGTTACCTTATTGTTGGCCTACTCCTGACATACTGCTGGATCCAGGTAGAGTAGTGCCCACTTATGGCAGACCATAGAATGATTTGCCCGAATTCATGCCACCCCGCAGTTGGACACGCGTTTCAGCTTCTGGATGTGGTACTAAACTGCATACAAAAATCTGAGATATGGTCAACAACTCGGGGGCCAACAGCCAATATCTGGAACAGACTAAGACAACCACAACCGCCTGTGACATATAAAGAAAGTGGTAAACACACAAAGTTCTATTGGGTATGGTAAAAATACAGAACGGGTTCACAAAAAATAGAAAAATGAAGAACTAACGTCTTCGAATAGTATTTCCTACCCAGTCAATCTTGTTAGCATTTTTCAGTAGATTTAAACCGTCTTCGAAGGCCTCACGAGTGACCATACTCTCTGAACGCGAGCGCAATTCTTCGAGAACACGGGTGTACACAAAAGTAAGAAGTCGTGGTTTTTCTTCCAACAATATCCAAATAGCTGCAGCCATCTCCTCGCGTCTTTTACGCATGCTACTACTGACTCCTAGAAAAAAATTAGTCAGAAGTAGCGAGGTGATTAGAAGGTAAAACAAAAACAAACTGCTGAATATGTTACAAAAAACTATGTCGACTCGGACTAAGTCGGACTGAGCTATCAAACAATGATAGGTACCTGTGGTCAGTATGCTGACGTCTATTGTGCCAGTGATGGGATCGATTGCTGCTTGCTTTAGAGCTTCACGCTGTAAACGACGGGCTTCCCGGCAGTCATCAGCCGTCACCTCATTTGACAGACGAAGTCGAGCGTGGGATTCGGATAATCGAATGAGAGACTCAAGTTGACGAGGATAGGCAGAGATCTGAAAAGAAGAATATCACTGGTGATCGGATTTAGGCGTCATATGGCAAGAACATCGTTTACTTGATGGTATTTACCTTAAGTTGGATTGTGCTGGAAAACGTTAATCTTTCTCGTGTACTCCACAATTGGTGATGCTAGTTTTGTGTCGTTACCTGGACCCCGTGCGTACACGATCATTGGAGTCATCAGAGTAGATAAGAAAAAAATGACGAGACAAACAGCGGAAAACCGAAAGAAAGGACCTCTTACGTAGCTGAGGTGTCTCTGATAGTGATAACTTCCCCATAACTTTAGCTCCCTCCATTCATAAATCAAAGTCACCCAACAGGTGATCCATCTTGCACATGATTATGGTGTTAGCAGGTTAAATAGTTAAGAAGAGGACACCGGTAATTATGTTGTGAATAAAGGAAGCTAGAGAGACTCAATGCTGGTTGCGCACTGTAGTGTTAATATGGTGATAATCCGCTGCATTTGTCTTTGGCTGTTCTTCAAATTAAAGGACTCTAGAATGCACTGTGATAAGATATTGTTTGTTTCACCTTTGTGCTACAAAGTCACAATTAGCCAAGTGGCCAATAGATGTGGACTCACACGGACCAGACCACTCGCTCAACCAGTGTGAGCAATGGTTAGAAGATATTGTCTGACTCGGATCACTAGGGATGCACTCAATCGCTGATTTGTGCCGCTCATTTAACATGGGATGGAAAGTAAGCGCTGTGAACAGGCATCAGTAGCCCCACGCCAAGCTAATCGCCGCCCGTCAACACATGCACGACCATGTGACTATCTGTCCGGTCGTTAACTAAGGCGAGGGCAGACTAGTCCGAAATTTGCATTGAAGCCAAATCAAACGAAATCGGTTCGGTGTCCGAATAACAGCCTCTCATGCAGGCAGTTGAAAGCAGCCACCAGTCGGCATTAGACGATGGGGCTAATGGCCATTGTCATTGTTATGCGAATATTAGTATTGTGAATCACGAGAAATACTTTGTTCCTAATTACTTTGATAAAATCTTAATGAACGATTGGCGTGTGTGAGAAGCTCATTCCTGTGTGACATGTCGGGTTGGCATGGATCGGTGCAAATGTCCATAATGTGCGCCCATCCACCTGATAATGCGGCTTCAATTATTATGACTGTGTTTGGGGAGATAAATCGGTCAGGTATGCTAACTACAATGTGCGCTCCGAGGTGCCATGGAACTAGTTGGATTGACTCACACAGGTAAAAAAGAATAACTGCAATAATATTATCGCTATCGGACTTTGGAGCATCTGTCGTCCATCGGACCACTGGGATCGCACCTGCTTCTAGTGTTGTACCGCACGTCAAATGGAAATAGTCGAGGCAGCAAATGAAGGCCACACCTTGATCGTCAGGTCGAAGACAGAACGTAAGTCCGCAGGATGAAATACGTAAGGGATAGAAAAGAGAGGACGAATGCAAGAGCACAGCCATCGAGGCAGATTAATTTTATTCTGCAATGTGTCACGGTATAGGATTATACTGTGTACGTCTGGTGCGCATTCCTCCCCAAAAGTAAGATCAATGAAGAAGTGGTAGACGCCGAAATGTGCGAAAGCCTTCGTGGTGCTCGCTGTGTCCATAGTCGCTTCATACTGTCGTGACCGTACAGTGCATCGTCAGGCGGTTTCACTGTTCACCAGTAAAAACATTCGTGTAGGATGGAAGTCGGCCAAGCCCGCGTGCCTACAGACTGCATTGCCTTAGGTGCACACGGGATATGGGGCTTTACAACGCAGTCGTCGGAGACAACTTTGCAAGCACAAGTGTCTAGTGGCCGACCGCAGTCATACCAAACAATGAAAAACTAGAAATGGACTCAAGCAGTAGTCGCGTCTATGATTTACGGAAGTAAATACGTAGACTAGAGATGATCAGCGCATAAGACACATCACAACATCGAAGGACTGCACAGCTATGGTGATCATTCCAAGGACGAAATTTTCAACAGAACTGCGTTCCACGACTGGCCACGTCTTTGTTTAAGACTCGCCACGTACAACGGATTCCATGCGAAGCCGGCATTTGGCAACTACCGGCGTGGACCCGGTAAGGGTGAAAACAAGACAGCTGCCTCTACAACTGTGCATGAAAAATAGCGAGCAAAAGGTGGATCGACTGGTATTAAAGGATATATATATATATATATATATATATATATATATATCAACTCTAGTCAATACTCTTTTCTTTAACATTATTCATTTATCAACTTCCGTCAGTATTGTGCAGGTGAATGCAAGAGTTCATGGCTAGCCGGGGTATGCAATGAGGAGTACATAACAGACTGCTGCAGCTCTACTTTTGCCTTGGAATCATCTCAAGGACACACCCCAGTGGCGACCGTTGGTGGGATCAGGGTTAGTCACTTCCTGTATCTAAGTGGAAAAAAGTCTAGGTGAGTCAATTGGCTGATTGTGTATGTCTCGCTGACATTCGACGGTACATTTTAAAGAGGGCTTTGATTGAGTAACCTGTTCAGGTGTGGACGCCAAGGCAGGACACCATTAAAAAAGACAACAATAAAGTTAATACAATCGCTTTGATTAGTAGTCTTAAAGATCACAAGGTTGCCTTGCTATTCGGGGGCGCAGGTTAGAGCCTGCGTAGGGACCGGGCGACCCTCGCAGTACCCTTAGCTCACGTACGACTCGTGGTGGTTGCGCGGCAGACAAGCGCCGGTACTGCGTACCGGCATAGTGCTGATGCTTCCCTTGTGCAGTTGCATTAATGCCACGTCGCTCAACGAGAAATGGGGAGAAAACGGTCGCTTTATCTGTTGCATACAACAGGGTGGACACACTAAACCATAATGCCACTAACACCTTCCTTCTTCCCCTCTCCATCCACATTCGACTATCCCAGTACGCATCTTGTAACGTCCATCCCAACAGTTAACTTGAACACCGACCCATGGAGTGCCCGGTGCAGTCTCAAGCCTCTGCACGAAGCGCTCAATACCGGATGCAAGAACGTGAGCACAATTCTGGACAGCAATACGATTGCATTGGCCACCTTAGAACTCGGTCGCTACGGCACTGATATTGCCGCACTCAGTGAAACTCGGTTGGCTGAGCAAAACAAGCTGCACAATGATGGTCCTGGCTACACCTACTTGGTGGGAGAAACCGCCACAGCAGCACGTGTCGAATTTGCACTATTCAACCGCCTGAGTGGACACCTGATAGAAGAGGCGACTGGCATCAACCTGTGTCACCGTGCGGTAGCGTGAGGTGCACATGATGCGTGAAATGCATGAAGCTCATTGTAAAACTTAGCACACCTGGTGTGTATATTTGCGTAAATTAAACGGAAATTCGACATTCGTTCTCTAGGTACTGTTGAGAAGAGGATCAAACTAGTGAATGCGATGGCCGTGGTGATGTCGACTCCAACGTTTCAGGCTGGGACCTAGGGTACCACCTGCAGGATCACGTTACCTTACATGCCGCTATGATCATCGGATGAGCAAGTTATAAGCACTCTGATTAGTTTTACGGTTACAGTGCGAACTCCGACGCATCAATGTCAGGGAAGAATGCGGAATTTGTTGCACATAAGGACCCCAGTAACACAGAGAAAAAAGGCACGTTTTGCAAGATGTATCAGAGACTAGCTGCAAAGCTCCGCAACAGCACGAATACATGCTAGACGTAGAAGGAAAAGCAGATGAAGTGCTACGCCGAATACCGCCAACAGGAGAAGTTCTATGACTCACTGAAGGAAGTGCATGGACTCTCTCTACAAACGGTGAGGGTGCAAGTGGACATTACGTCCGAAGTGACCTACACATGTCTGCAGCTATCATACAGATATGGTGCAGTCACTTGGATGATCCTTTGAGCAACCGTTCAGACACTGATTGAGACAGCAACAGCAAAGTGTAAAGGATACTCCTGCCGAAACCCCCGGAAAACATGAAACGTAGAAAGCACTTGCGCAGATACAAAGCAATAAGTGAGTCTGTGCCGACAGGACAGCGTCCGAAACAACGATACTCGATGGACCCATGACGCCAAATGCGCTACAACAAATAGGATGATGGGTCGGGCTGTATCACAGTTAAGTTTCAATCGGTGGTAGTCAGCTATCCTCCCCATGCCTCAGTGGCATAAGCTTATGGCCAGTGATACAAACCAGTAGCAATCACGGATACGATCCCCAACAGGGGACCGAAGAAATGCGCACCCCTGATGGATCCAAACAGGACGAAACGATTGTCTGGTGCTTATCCGGACTGGTAGTTTGTCGGCATGTAGTATAATTGCGATGAATCAAATGGAATCATACCTGAATCCGTCTATTCATCAGTAACCAAAGGGAACAAGTATCAACTTGCGAAGGTGCATCAATGACGTGATTTCCAGGATGCAGTGTGACAGACTCGTCAAACACCCTATTGGGCCAAACGTGCCCGAAGATCAGTGTGGATTCCGTTCGAGCCGCAGCACCATAGCTATGGTGGTGATCGCGCCTCGGCAACTGCAGGAGAAGTGCCGTGAACGGAACAATCCATAGGACTCCCTAAGATATCCAACACAGTGAACCGTGGGGAACTGTGGTTGGTGTTCGATTAGTTTGGATGCCCGGACACTTGATTGCCTTATTGAGTGCTTTCAGAGTTATATGCGGGCTAGAGTGCAGTTGCGCGGACAAACCTAGGATGGTTTAGATGAAGTATCTGATGTGAAGCAAAGATGTGTCTTAGTCCTAAACTCTAATATTTATCTTACTATAATGATGACTATTGCTTTCGATGACTGTGATTACGATATCCGTCACGAGCACTGCAATGATGGTGGGTTACTGAACATCCATCGTCTCAATGTGAGAACTAGAGTGCACGATACAACTATCGGGATGTTGTATGCTGAAGACTACGCGTTGTTTGCACACAGGGACATATGAGGACCGCGGCTAAGTTTGGACTCTAGATAAAAACAAGTAAAACAGCCTATTTATTCCGTCGTCACCATGAAGTTTTGCAGGTATCGGGAGCATGATGCCAACAGACCTATAGATGACTAGCGGGTTGCACACTCAGGTATCGAAGGCGAGTGATACATTTGGCAAGCTAGAACACCGAGTGTGGATGAATCATCAGCTGACTATCCAGATCAAGATGATGGTACCTAAGTCAATGATGCTGTCTGTTCATCTTTATGGCAGGGTAGCATGGGCGATTTGCAAGAGCATTTGATATCTTCAGCGTTTTTATCAACAACGCCTGGCCGGATTCTCGTATTCGCGGGTGTGGCAGGGTCCGTGTCACAGACGTGCTAAGCTAGAGCAGCATGGATGGAATAAAATGCATGCTGCCACTGCGACACCTCAAATGACTCTGAGCAGGTGGCTGCGACCATGACACCGAAGCACACGCTGTATGGTTAACTACTCGCATTTGAGCGAAATGCAGGCAAGACGAAGTTAAGCTACCACGACATGACAGAAAAATTGGGCATGAACGAATGTTGACTTTAGGTGTTGGGAAGTGGCAGTAGATCGACGCTAATGCCATGATCACATCAAGAATGCCGTTGCCCAGGTGCATCTGGAAGGACTATTCAAACAAGGAGAAAAGCGTCGGGTGCTGATGGAGCCTATCTCATCGACATCAAGCACACTGTGCTGTATCACATGCGGTCGTGTGCGATAATGACGTCACATTTTGACGGCGTTTGCTGGTTGCTTTCCCCGATCTCGCTGCGCTTGATGCGTACGTCGACAAGATGCCAACGTGCCGAAAATCCTTACCTCGATTACTGATTCTAAGACTGTCAGTTGTTACCATGGAAATAGAGTACAAGGTCTTCGTGACAGTGCTATGTTCAAAGATTGTTTCCACCCAGTGTGGAACGTGCTACGGCCCAGCCACAGCATGGTATACAGTTGGTTTACATGCTTATCCTTGCTCAGGTAAACTAATGATGTGCATATTGAAGGAGTGTGGTCCGGTTCCGAATCAATCCTGGCTCCCATCTACATGCATCCCAGTCTTATCACTTAAAGTTTATATTGGATATGAAGTGTGTGAATGGAACTGAGGATGGTGCAGCTCAAGCCACTCATGGTCCCTGTGCAGGCGTAGGCATCATGTGGCTTTCGCAGTCGTATATCTAGAAACGGATGCTGCCTATTATGTGTAAAGCAACAAAACAGAGACGGATAGAAAGTGGGGAGCGAAGGATGACTACAACGTGTTCCATAAATATTGGCTCCTGGATTATAACTTTAAAACATGAAAAATAGGCTCAACTACTCCAAAGCTTAATAACGTTATCAGAAGAGTAGTACTAGAGACCGGGAAGATAGATACTCAAGGGGTGCAAGAATCACTTCAAAGGCATTGACGTCTGTCGTCAACACCAAAGTCATGTTAACACGGAACAAGGAAACTAAAAAAGAAAGTTCATCAAAAGGATAAATAAACGCTAAATGCGAATCGTCAAAAGAAGAGAAACTAACCTGGCCTCGACCAGAGCCCAACTTTCGCATTTCCACATATTCTCGAACCAAATACTCGCCGGCTTCATCAGTTATTTTCGGATGGAAGTTTGTCTGAAAATAGATGATCGCGTTGATAGTAAACCACAGAGTGTTCCAGCTGATTGAACTGCTGAAGGCACATTCAAGATACTGCTATTACTTTGGCTTATCGCCAGCCAGTCGAAAGGAGACGACAAGGCTAACGTTTTCATCGCTGGCCGAAACGACAAATTTATAGTGAAGTGAGAGTGCGGGGGACAGCATAGCCAACTTACTCTTCCTATCAGTAAGTTTTGTCCTGGTAACAAACAAGGACAGCCTACATCATCAAAAAGAACGGGCGATACAGACCATACTTGAAAATAGGCTACCATGAACGCTGGGACTACTTCGATTTGTTCGCTGATATACATGTATATCTTTCTAGCGAAAGCTGTTTAAACCGCTATCATGAGATGCATTGAAAAGCACCTAGTAACTAGTTTCGGAACTCGTATGCACCGTTATTCCGCTGGTGGGCGTGAGCATTGTTAATCTTAGATTGTGGAATGTTGTACGCAGCTAATACACCAATATAACCCGATATGACCAGCCATCCTGCAGCTAAATGCAATTCGCGTCATTGAACAATAAATCCCATTCATCGGTCTGTTCAGTAACACCTGTATAGTAGCTGTATCTGATCTAAGTAGGAACGTGTCTAAGTCCGACTTTGTTGCAGTAGAAGTATAAGACAAGGGATAGTCATTCATGAACACCTCGGTTGCAAAGTGAAAGAGAAGAACGGTGTATAACAACAAAAATACACCCCAAGAGAGCTTCTTGTAGAACTTCGCACAGTTAAGAGGGCAGTGGCATTGAGGTTTCAGATTGGATAGGAATTTCTCGGCCAGGTATTTAAAACAACAAAAATACCACCACAACCAGGCTTGATAAACCACCAACTGCCTGAGGAGTTGCTGATAATGAATCCATCCTACAGCTAACCATTGACCTACCTGGTATAAGTGGCTCTGAAAGCCCTTTGAAGTGCTAGCCAGTGTAATATCATGCATACTTTGAAGGACGCAAAGTACCGCATTATATTCAGTTTAGTTAAGAAGTTAATGAATCTCAAAAGACAGCTTGGTAATTGAGGCGAAGGAAAAATTTGTTCCAAACTCCCTTTACGTTGGATACGCTCAAATGAAAAGTTCCCCTAGGGTTGAAGGATAACCTTGAAATACTTTTGTGTTAATGGATTGAGATTGTGAGCCATGATTCGTTTCTGTTTAGCTGTCCACTGCAACCAATGGAAATGCACTGAAAACATTGGGTGCCACCTGATCGTGGTACACGATATTGTGGGACTTGCGAATAATGACCATCGGTCAGTCACGATTTCACTACACACCGTATTGGCTACGATACCAGACCCAAAGCGATTTTCACCCAAAACAATTCGCGAGGAAGGAAACAAAAAATGGCAGCAGCAAAACACCAGTGCATCATACCGACGCGCCCATCTCCAACCACACGTAGTCTAGGGATACTACGAGGGCGCTGGAAAGTACGCGGATTCGAAAAGTCGTGAAGTGCAGTGTTTTCGAGTGGGCAACGCCCAATTTCCATCTACCTTACCAAGGGTTGTTCCCATGCGTCGAGTAGACGATCAAGCAATTAGGACAAATCACGAAAGCTTAAGGCGCTTTTGCCAATCTCTACCATATGTGGGGCCGGCGTGACATCATTCTCGCCTTGAAGGGCAAAGATTACAATGCAGCCGTCCGTTCCACCATCCTGCACGGTTGTGAAATCTGGCCCATTATATCGGCAGACAAAAAGAGGCTTGTTACGTTCGACCATCGCTGTCTTCGCAGCTTAGCTCATGTCTGGTAGGAGCACCGCGTGAGTAATGAATGTATTCGGCGCCGCGTATTTGGTGCAGGAAGAGCGCACTAGGCTCCGATGAGTGGGTCACGCGTGGCGCATGCCAGCACACCGACTCCCGCATCGTACGTTGGTTGCGCGCCCGGGGTCTGGATGGAATAAGAGGATGGGAGGCCAGGCGATGACTTGATCGTGAGGAATGAAGTCTTTCACTTCGAAACTGGAGCCATTTGGTGTTTTCACGACTGCCGGGCTAGGGTCCGATGAACACGTCTGGTTGGATACACCAGCTGGCATGGCGATGAGCCGACCTTAACGGCTTTTGTGTAGTGAGTCTCTTTGTCCTTCCCCTCCACTTCGCCTCTCCCACCAACAACAATCGCAACGTAATGCATAATGTGAGTTTAGCATTATGTTACTCTTTAGCCGTTGTAGTCTGTAATGGTTAACTTGTTATCCGCTTTGTATTGCTGCACATTAGCTGAGGTGCGTTTCTCACCTTCAGTTAACCTACACTGCTGTTGCTGCTGACCAATCACGACGAGTGCCACTGTTTTACTAAACCTAACAAGATAGGAGTCTTTCGTTCGAGGATATATATATATATATATATATATCATACACAATCTGTGGTACAGATATTGCGCCATCGGAATTATGGCTGAATAGGAAAACAATATGAATAATAAGAAAAGAGCAACAAGAAATGCTTTTTTTTGTCAAGTTTACCACTCACAGTTTTTGAAATTTTTTTGCAGTTTGTTCTTTTTTAGGGGGAGGAAGAAGGGACACCGCAACACACTGATGCACACGTCCGCCATTGACATCGATCTTGAGCCATAACTTCCAAGGTCTTCAACCAGCAAGTATCCTCATCTCTCGGACCCCAACCAGGTAGTCGACAACAACCGGCCGAGGCCAACTGTTTCGTCAACTTTTTCATGCGGCTTCTCCATGTTGTAGGCTGTCCACCAGACCGTCTCTTCCAGCCCTGTCCAGCAAGTGCAAACAACGCACGACGGGGGTAACGCTGGACAGACATGCGCAATTCGTGTCCCAAGCACCGCAGTTGATGCAGTAAGATGAGCTCCTCGAGCGAGTGGCTTCCACGTCCCAAGACACGCTGTCTAACTTCCACATTGCTTACGTGGTGCTGCCACCACACACGGGCAATGGACCGCAGACAGCGGTGCTCGAAGACGGATAGCCTGCGCAAGTCATCTTTACGAATGGGCCAGGTCTCGCATCCGTACAACAGTACAGCACGAATAGTTGCACAATAGACCCGCCCTTAGATGGAGAGACGAATGTCGTGGCGACGCCACAAATGCCTCAGCCTAGAAAAAGCGAGGCGTGCTCTCGAGATGCGCATCGAAATCTCGTCTCCAACAGCCCCGCCAGCAGTGATGCAACTTCCCAAGTAGACAAAGCTCTCCACAACATCTAGTGTCTCACCAGCAAGCGTGAGTGCAGGCAGAGGCACCTGCCAGTCTTGAAGGAGAGCCTTGCATTTGGATGGCGAAAAGTACATACCGTACTTCGATGCTTCAATCGTCAAGCGGTTTAATGCAAGTTGGACGACCTGTGGATCGTCACCCAGCAAGACGATATCATCAGCATAATCCAAACCAACAACTCGACTACCTGGGAGGAGCTCAACGCCAGCGTTCAACGAATCGCTCAGAGCGTTCTTCAGAACATCCTCAATGGCAAAGTTGAATAGGAACGGAGAGATAGGGCATCCTTGTCGAACTCCACTGGAGACCACAAAGGTAGGCGAAAGCATGCCATAAGCCCTAACCCTGCCCGAGGTCAGACTGTATAGAGCGCTCAGTATGGAGACGAACTTCTCGGGGACACCGTTCCTCAGAAGGCACTGCCACAGTACTGTACGATCGACAGAATCGAAGGCTGCACGGATATCCAGGAACACAGCAATCGTTGGCCTCTGATACACATGGCGGAACTCGAGGATCTGGCGAATTGTGAAGATTTGATCGATGCAGCCACGACCAGGGCGAAACCCAGCTTGTTCTTCTCGTTGCAACGATTCGCGTGTTGGGGATAGCCTGCGAAGTATGATGGACACCAGCAGCTTGCAAACGACGGGGACTAAACTTATTCCTCTGTAGTTGGAGCAGATTGTGCGCAAGCAGGAGAAAGCTACTGGATAGTGGTACGTACTCGTTGCCTGACTGTTGTAAGAGACAAATCCCTGACAGTAAACTAGATTTGTTGGCTAAAACTACTTGGTGTGACCCATCGTCAAAAATAACATACGCTACAGCCCGTTAATACACTTAGATTTGTGTATATAGATGCGAGGAGTCAAATGGGACTAAAAATATTATCATTCCCGTTAATAATAATGATGATGATGCGACATGAAAGAACAAGCTATCAGGTGGAATGGTCAAGAGTTTAAAGTCAAGGAACAAAAAGCCAGAGTGCAAGGAACCCAGTGACTGCGCCTTATTCGACAAATGTATCTAACCACTGAAGTAGCTAGTCCCGATGAGCTTATCTGATAAAATGACAAGCAAGATTGTCGTTCGATTTTTTAATGATTGCTATGTCACTGAATACCTCGGAGTTTCACCCAACTAAATACAGATGGTCCGTTTGCAGGCATCCCGAGCATATAATCGAACCAGAGAAGGCGAGTCGAGTTTAAAAATCACTTTAATGAGGCACTAGAGTTTGCTGCTACACACGTCTCAAGTACAGTAGAGATTGGGGCGCGTGGACCGAAACTCGAAAGCGTAGAAAAACCACAGCGTTCAGTGTAGCAGCTATCGACCTTACTCTACGCTGCTAAAACAATGGCGGCACTACTGCCTTTTCCACAAAACAAAGTCAATGACGCTTGGACTCGACTCGTGCTCGCGACTTAGCGTACACGTTGTTACGCTGCAAGTCAATTATGCGCGCACACGTCCACAAAACTCAGTGTACACAGTGGTCGTGCTAATCGTGTCTGAGTTTCCCTCAAACAATTTAGTTCGTCTGGTTGATGTCACCTTCCACTCTATAACTGATTAGTACCCGACGTTGCCAGGTTATAGATGCTACAAAAACGTAAGTGAGGAATCTAAGGTTGCCTTTACCTGGTCAGTAAAAGCGCTCCTTAGTTTGCGGTGCGGTCATAGGGTTTCGCGTTTGTACGTTTACTCAGGGCGATGATGAACTTCATCATAGCCCAT